TAATTGATTGCCTCCATGAATACAGCAAGCAATGCCATGCCATGACCACTTCCCAGCTCCCAGCCTGAAAATGCCATCGATGAAATGACATGTCTGGAAAAGAGCAACATGTTAATCACAAGTTGTCACATTACTATTAAGATTCAGAGTATGACTGACATATTGCCTCTGGGGCTGCTTTCCATCCTCAGTTTCTTCTTGGGAACATGAGGTAATGCAATGAAAATATTGATGCAGTACTTATTGCTCCCTTGCTTATGATATCTGGGCCATCTTTATTTTGTTGGGAGCTTTTATATGAGTGACAAGGGCTCCTGTGGAAAACAGGGAGGTAGGGTCTCCTTGGCCCATATAAATTGTAATTCTACAGCATACACAGGATCCCAATACAATGTTGAATTGCAGACTGGACAAAATGCAAGCTGCACAAGCCCTGCCCAGAGCCACTGTACCTACAAAGACTAAACAATGGCTGTCAAAAGTTAAGTTTTTCCTACATTTGTTTTCCCTTTCAATACAGCCTCCTATTGCTCTTCCAGTAGCAGGGGATCTGAAGTGGCTCTCTATTGATTTACAGCAAGAGGATTATGGTAACACTTCCTTGTTTTTGATTGTGGGTTATTTTCCCATTTTTGGAAATGTGAGAGTGAAGGAACAGCTAGAGCTCACAACATTGAAAGAGGCTGCCAAACTAAATAGATAACATATTTGAAAGCGACAATGCAGCAGTACTGACTACTGATTTAATGGACAAGGCACTAATCAATTCCTATTCCTTGAGCGTACACTCCCAGGAAATTGGTGGGCTTTGTCCAAAAAAAAAGGTCATCCTTATGGAATAAAGACCGAAAGCACTCCGGATGCTGTAAATCAGGAACAAAAACAATGTTGCTGGAAAAGCCCAGCAAGTCTGGCAGCATCTGTGAAGGAAAAAAATAGAGTCAATGTTTTGGGGCTGGTGACCCTTCCTCAGTTCTGAGGGAAGGTCACCGGATCCGAAATGTTGACTCTGTTCTTTCCTTCACAGATGCTGCCAGACTTGCTGGGCTTTTCCAGCAACTTTGTTGTTGTTGTTGTCATCCCTATGGGGATGTGATTGCTTGGTGCTGCTGAAGCACCAACGTTGTCCGCAATTTTTCCAAACCTGGATATTATCTAAGATCTGATCTTGGCTGACATGGGCTGTTTCATTGTCCAAAGAGCTGCCAGTCAGAACACTGTTCAATGCCAGCAAACAACCACACTTCCGACCATGCAAACATGGAAGATTATTAACGAAAAAGCAGAAAATGTTTAGCCAGAGGATGTTGTTCTGAAGGACATCTGAAACAGTGTCCTAGGACTGCAATAAGTGGCCTCCTAAAATCCCACCCTTCATCTGGCAATCAGGTACAACGCCAACAACTCAACCATTAATCCACTGAATTTTGCCATGCATCTTTGGTACTATAAATTGTCAAATGCTGCATTATTTAGTGGAGTTATGCTCTCCCATCTGGCATTCCAATTTTGTATCCACAATGTTGAAAAGTGGGTTGGAGCACAGTCACTGCGGCAGACCCTGACTGAGGTACAGTGAACATTGTAATGGTAGCTTGACAGTAGTGCTAGTGCCATCTGCCATCACTGTTAATTGTTAGGAAGAAACTGATAGGATGGTAGACAAACAGGAGGCTGGAAGAAAACAGCAAGCCAGGCAGCATCTGGAGGAAAGAAGTCAATGTTTCAGGTATTACCCATTTTCAGGCAAGAATGTGTCTCATTATTTACAGATTTAAATATTTAAATAAATCTCCACCTGGGTAGGAATAACTTAATAGAAGGCCAGTTAGTTTCAGTGCAACATGTCTACAGCATTACAGCCTCAGTATTATTGTACACAAAAGGCAGAATTTTGTCAGCTGCTGTTTAAGTTTATTGATAAGTATGTTCATTGTGTCCAACTCAACATGGCCTGGAGTGAATTTTCTCAATCTTCCACTCTTCACTTCATTTAATATGAAACTGGGCTCTTGGGTACCTTTCTTGGAGAATCACATGGCTGGAGAAATGGGATTGCATCATGCTCAATCCCTCGTTTTGTCTCATTGCAGGAAAGTCTGATCTATCCTATGGCCTGATGTCATAACACCTTGCCAATTTGACTTACCTGTGACCTCGGACTGTTGCACTTGACCTGCAAAACTGAATGTGGCCAAATCCTGAGACTGCAAGAACACAGAACCACGGGCTTTGGTGGGACCAAGCACCTAACTGGCCATGGCCCCATAGTGTAAACAGATTTGACCCTATTCATTGACTGAGTGCCCCTTCACCACATTAAGTCCTTTGGCTTTCACATGTCATCATTTACTTGAAACCCATACAGTTTCTGACACTGAAGCTGCTTGCACACACTGTAACTCTGATGTTGATGCAGCATGGTAGTGCAGAGTGACATGCCCATCCCCTGTCTGACTAATAGATTGACTTTGCAGTGCCCCTGCCACCACCCTAACCCCCACAACTGTCACAAACTGCCTGTCTCTCCCTCTGAGTGCAAAAGCAATGCAAGTCACTGAGGCTGGCAGCTTGGAACTGAGCACTAAAGACCTTGTGTAACTTGTAAGTTAGTCAAAGTAAGTAAAGTCAAAGTCCATTAAAAAAATATTGTGAGTCACACAGGGCAGTCTCCAACTAAGTGCTACAGTGAGTGAAATATAAGAAAGCAACCTAAGAGCAATAAATCTGTGTCCATGTCAGCACAGAAGCATCCTGTGTACATGCACGAAACGCATGTCTGTTCCTATGCACAAAGTGATATGGCAGAAGTATACAAGTTATAAGTGTTGCTGAGCTGCAAAGAAAACATTGAAGGCCTGAAACGGTATTACAGTATATCCATAAACAGATGGGTTGCCAAAGCTGTCTTTCAAGGAGGTTGGTGACCATGAAACATGCAGGAACATTTGACGACACAGTTGAATAATGGCCAGGATAATCTTTCAGAGAACTGCAGCCTCTAAATGACTGCTGTCTTTTACTACTTTGGAATTTGAATCATTTAATTTTTCAGTGAAAGAAAGGACAATTAGAAGTGGCGTATAAATAAGATACAAATGCGTGAAAATAAGGTAATCACTGTTCAATGACGATATTCTGAACTTGTAATTTAGGGTTTGAGGGGAAAATTGGGAATTTTTTCTTATCATTGAGAGTCTGAGTTTTCATTCACATCGTATTTTGCTTCCTTTCTTGTCATCATACACACCAGACTATAGAAAGAAAAATTTTGTCCATGGTGTTTGTGGCATGATCATCAACTACTTCCTGAGTATGTAATGAATCAGCCAACTGGACAAAGGTCTGAAATCAATATTGAATACTTTCAGTGTCAAGCATATCTAGCTGCACACCATTGATTCCCCAGCACTGTTTTTGCTAATGCAACTGATGAGACAAGGCATGCCAAGGGACAGTAATGAAGGAGCATAGAATATTAGCTGAAAGGTAAGATTCTATGAACATTACAACATTAGGCTACTGCTTCATTTGTCAGTGGTGCAGCTTCATTCATTTTAAATGGTTATAAAATTTCCCAAAACAGGCATCAGTTTCCAAATAAATGATGAGGACTTTGTAAGATCAACTGCTTGGAAATGTCTGAATACTGAATGCATTTTGTCAATAAGTTTGCTTAATATTTACACTTTTACAACTGCTGCCTTGCAACTGAGTAACTTATTAGGTCACTTCAGGAAGTATACGGAATGGGCCCATTTGGCTTGCAATTTCATGAAAGAATGCTGAAAATCCAGTTTTATTTTAAAATGGAAATCATAATCTCAGAGTTACTCGTACAGTATCGTGACCACGAGGCAATGCATGAGGCTACGACTGTCTTTAAAAATGTTGTAAATCTCTTCTGATAGGGAGTAGCTGTATAGGAAATAATGGAAGCAGACATTCACTACCAAGTTCCTCTCTCCTAAGGCACCTTCTCTCAAATCCAAAAGAAAACTGGATGACCTGTGCCAAATATCAGACAATGACAACTCAAATGATAAATCTTTAGTAACCTGCCCTCAATCTCCCTCAATTTGTAGACTGTTTACAGGTATTAGGTGCTAAGATTCCTTGGAGTTTGTTACTTCTGTGTTTCTATCAGAGGTGGCTCGATATAGCACTTGGGGCAAATGCGATCAAAGGTTATGGGGAGAAAGCAGGATTAGGCTATTGAGTTGGACAATCAGCCATGATCGTGAAGAATGGCAGAGCAGGCTTGAAGGGGTGAATGGCCTCCACCTGCTCCTATCTTCTATGTTTCTATGTTTCTATAAAAATGTATTAAAGACGCATTGAACAAAATTTGGCTGATTCTCAGTTGAACTGTATTTTGGACAGAAGTGCAGTTTCAGGGCTATGCTAGTCTATAAATCCATCATTGAGGAAAATACAGCCACAGAAGTGAATTCATTATTGTCATATACTGTAATTCTAACTGCAATTTTAAATAAATATACAACAATACAAATAATTTAATTCTACTTTCCCTATCTTTATCCCATTTCTATTCTTTCTTGTTTGTTTTTCCCTGCCTTTACTACTCTAAATCATACTTTACCATTTTGTTACATAATCCAACCTTCTCCATTAATTTAGATGTCTTTAAAATTTAGAAATGAACTTTGATTGTTTCACTTGTCTTTCTTCTTTTTCCTCACTTTCACGAATCTTTTTGACTTCACAGTCAATCAAAAGTACAAAGTCTAACATGTCAAAGCAAAAATTGAATGGCCATTACTACTGACCATCCTCAGAGAGCCCATAACTCATTGTAACATGACAAGGATTAACTTGAAACACATTGATGTAAATAATAAACAAACACACGATGCTGGAGAAACTCAGCAGCTCTAGCAGAAGCAGTGGAGAGAGAAACAGAATTAACATTTCGAGTCTGGTTTGAAGAAGTCATATCAGACTCAAAAACACTAACTCTTGTTTTTTTCTCTCTCCACAGATACTGACAGACGTGCTGAGTTTCTTCAGCATTACTTGTGTTTGTTTCAGATTTTCAGCACACTCAGTATTTTGCATTTATTCGACTATTGGAAATAATATTGCCTACAGCAATGGTATATTTAGTTCAATACAAACTGTTAACATGACTATCATTTACATAGGAAAAAGGAGTGTGGAATTATACAAGCCTGAGCCTGCTCTGCCACTTAGCTAGTGAAGGATTGATTTTCTAACTCAAAGCAATTTTCTCACACTTTTGCTTGATGTCTTTGATATCCAGAAATTTATCAATCTTTGTACTGATTATAGCTAATGACCTGAGCTCCACAGCCATCTGGTGTACAAAATTTCAAAGACTCAGTATCATTTGAGTGAAGAAATTCTTCCGTATCTCAGTCATAAGTGGCCACCCTCTTATTCTGAGCCTGTTGTCCACTGGCTTTAGAAATCTTCTACCCCAGCTAAGAGAAACATCCTTCCTGTTCTACCCCATTGAACGCTGAAAGGACTTTAGTGAGATCATCTCACATTTTTCTAAACTCTCGAGAATATTGGCCCAGTCTCCTCAATCACTCAGCTCAGTCTCCTGAACACATCAACTTTATTTTTAATTGTGAAATCAAGATGAAAGATCAACATTTGTATTGCAGGACAATGTTGAACAGCATGAAAGAGCAGACTAGGTAAAACTGGAAGAATGATTAGGTCAACACAAATCACAGATTTCAACAGCTTAAAGATTTGTAAGAGGAAAGAGTGACTGAGGAAAGAAAAATATCCAATCTACACTGATTGTTAATTGTTTTGCATAGAATGGTATTGATGCTGAATGATGCCACTTTCCCTGATTCACCAGATAATTTGAAGCCTGGAACTTTGTTGAAGTTAATTCACCTAACATACAGCAAAGATATTGCCCTTGAATTTAAGAAATGCATGAGCATGTGAGAATTATTTTAACGTGACAAACTAACAAAATAAACCTGCGATTCATAGGGAACACTGAACCATACACCAAACCAAATTTCTAACTCACTCTTGAATTGCTTTGAATTATCCTAAAGATCAACAGTAGAAAACACAGTCTAAGGCTAATTTCTTGCTAGAAGTATGAGAATATGGCAGACATTTATATGTTTCTCAGTTAAGAGCTTTGACAAATAGGAAGTACAGAAAATGCTGAAAATTAAAGAGAATGGAGAGAAGGGATTTGACTCACAGAAAGAGTGCAATTTATCAAACTAATGTCAAAGTTGATTAAACACACACAATTATCAAAGACGAACCACTAAATTCCTGACATTCAAATATTGTTATACGAAAACTGTAATCATAGGATGGCTTTTTTAAACTATACACTGCTTTAAAGATCAGGGAATGTGAAATGTGGTTTCAATTGAGAAATTTCTTGCTGAACTAGACATTTAAGGAAATTTCCCTAGCCACTTGAAGGTTCAGAACTTGAATAATACTGAAAAAAAAGTGATATGTTGATGAAGCTTTTCATCTTGCAATCATCAGGACAATGGCAAGAATGCCAAATGTTTGTAATTGTTTGAAATTTAACATTCTTGTATTTGTCCTGATGAGTGCAAGATGAAAAGCTTTAGCAATACGTCTTTCTTTTCAGCATGGTCAAAATGTAGGACCTGCTAACAAAGGGAATACTTCAGTGAGTAGCATAGATGTATTTAAATGGAGCCTAGATTAAGGCATAAGGGAGAAAGAAATAAAAGTACTTTTTCAATAGGTTGAGAAGATGGTTCAAGTAGAGCATAAATACTAGAATTGATGAATTGGGGGAGCATTGAATGGTCAATTTCTGTGTAACAGTTTCTGTACAATTCCATGTAAATTAGGTGTACTATGCTTGCACAGTACAAGGTCATTTAAAAAATGAGAACACAGAAAAATAAGCTACATGACAGTAAATTATTTTAACCACAGATGTTAGTGTGGCAAGCTTGCAAAGCTTTCCGCTGGGTAAGTACTCTTTTACTTCAAGGGTTACATGGAACAGAATCCAAAGGCCCTATATGCAAACAAATTGTAATTACTAAATTTAAATTGAGCCAGATTAAGACTGAGGCTCATCTCTGCAGAGAATATTGTTAAGCTATTTTGCTGAATAAAATAGTGATGGTTTTGAAAATAAGTGGCTGTAAATTAGTTCTTTTTTACAATCTGTTTAATTTAAAAAGTGATAATGCAAATTTGCATTTTGTCCTGTTGAATAACAAGAATGACTTGACCTAAAGTTTTCTCCTTTAAATATTCAGTGTTTCCATAATTTGGCAAGGAAGTGCACGTACATACTGTTCACTGAACACAGAGGCACTGCTTTTAAAAAACTTGTTTTCTACTACATAAAGAGCTTAATCTAGAATGTAACCTGGTAAATTTATGAGCCATCAACCCAGTACCAGCCTGGTCAATTTTTAATGAAAAGAGCAAATATAATGAAAAATAGGAATATGGCAGTTTTTCTCCATAATTATCGGTCTGCAATTAAAATTCAGTAGCAGGAATAATGGGGGTACTCTTAACACCCAGCGTGAGGTGTTTTTAAAATTTCAAATTCAACTTCAACCTGCCAGTGAAGGTAAAACGACAAATGGATGGTTATCCCAGTTTCCAAGAGACAGGATGTCCATTTAATAATTATATGAGATTGCGAGTCTCACACATAAACTACATTGTAGGTTTAACATGGCTGGCCAGATTTTCTAGGCCTCAAGAGGAGTGAGGAAAAGGAAATTGCCATTACAGAATAGCTTGTGGGCAGAGGAGCAGGAATGCTTGCCCTTAGCCTAGGTATAGCCTGGCATTAAATTCCTGCATTCAATATCAGGGTTGTATGCTTCATAAATTTTTTTTTATAATGTGTTTGCAGATCATGAAATTATGAAGAAAGACAGGCAGCCTCTGATTCTGTCTTGAGAAATTTCTTCCCCAGATCTTTAGGAAGATCATGCCTCAGTATAACTTAAAAGATGGTTGATAGCTTTATGTCTTAGATGCTCCTCTAAACATTGAAGTGCAAACCCATCAACTTCGGTGTCAAACTTATTGGCAAATAGGTGATGCTGCTGCAACATCCATTTCAGATCCCCTGCTCCGAATACACACACTGAACGGACGTGTACACCGGTGCAAGGTGGATAAGGTGCTCCTTTGGAAACATCACCCTCAAGGTAACTCCATTTTACTAGCCTTGCTAAAGAGTTCATGTCAGAGATATCATATTTGTTATTAACAGGGACTGATCCAGGCATATCAGGTATTCTTTGTAATGTTGCCCACATGTGTTCATCTGGACTGAAAGTATCCTTTTCCCATTCAATAAACTTTTGTATTTTAGGGCTTCGAAATAAATATTCCACAAAACTTCTGCTAACAATGAAGTAGGCACTTCCTGAAAACATTGGTGTTTCAATTGGAGGAGCATCTTTATTCATTTCTGTGTCCTTTATTCTCCCATTCATTATCTTATAACTATGTTTCCATCTCTTTTCTTTATGTGGAGCAGTCTTCTCAGTTTCTAAGCTGTTTGCTCCTTTTAAAGCCTTGAGTTTTTCCACCATTTCCAAATTGGTTTTTAAAGGGAAATCCATGCCACAAAGATTGATCAAGTATTTCCATGTTGAATTCTTTTGAAGGAGATCTTTCATGCAATTTACATCAGCCTGAACCCTACTCCAGGATGCATAGGTTACATTTTCGAGCTGGCTGGCAATAAAAACATTGTCAAAGCAGGAAGCTATGCTCCGAACTGCGTCCAAGAAGCTCTGAGATGATTTTTTGTCAACATGAATACAATAAAAATTTTGAGGTGCATATATTAAGCGTAAAAGTTTTCCAAACATGTCAATCCTGTGATGGATTACTATTGAATATGCTATTGGAAATTCTTCTTCCTCTTTGCTAAGTGGAAATGTGATATATCTTTGTAATCTGGTGAAGTTGGAGCAATGTTTGGTCAAATCTATGTAATCTTTTTCATTAAGCACAGGACGCTTTTTGTACACAGTTGTGAGTGCCTGAAGTTTTGCCAGTTTTATCGTCTCTTCATCTCCATTGATAATGCCAGTGCAATTTACATAATATCTGGGGTCCTCTTCCACAAGCTCCAAATTTTGGTGCTCATTCACAGGACCCTTGTCACGTCTTACAAGAAATAGTAATGTTAATGAGCAGCAAATTCCTGTCAGAATCCATCGAAATAGCCTGTATCGAAAATATCGCAGTCTTCGGTACAACATTTCTGATCTCTTAATGTATCAAACTTTATTTCCTGCTCATCGTCAGTTTCCTTTCCATTTAGTCAATGAAGCCTTCACTGTAGAACATCATCTTCAATCTCAGATATATTGGTTCACATGAGACAGACTGACACAACTGTAACAAAATACAACAGAAAAATAATCAATTCTGTGTTCAATAAATAATTAAAACTGAATTGTAGAGAATTGTAAAACTCTACACTGTAATTCTGACATTGAAATTATAAATAAAATGCTTCGAGAGAGTTAAACACTATCAACAAGGTAAACACCTCAATAATTTGATCATGTTTGTAGTTCTAAGACTATTTTAACTCCTTGCTATGATGTAAAGATGAATAAGTACACTTGTGTAATATTCCTAATGAGAATAAATATGGAATAACAAGTACAGCGGTAAAGTGATGTGTAAACATAAACCTTCAACAGGTATCCAATCCTCAAAAAATTGTGAAGAACGTTTTCAGTTTTGACTGCTTCAGACTGGAGCTCATCCATAGATACAAAGGGATTCTCAATATACTTTTGAAGACAGATACACAAGATGTCATTTCAATTATTTGGCAAAAATATGAAAGATTGAACTAATTCTGAGTATTACTCAGACCATATGAAAATTTGCTGCTTGTGGTGGTTCCCAATACTATGTGGTATGAAGGAAAAAATATTTATTTATGTTTAATTTTGTAGAAGGTGCAACGAGGTTACAGGCCACTAACTCCAACCATTCCAATTTTTTTTCAATGCTGAAGATGTCCTATCGAACTCAAAACATTAACTCTGTTTCTCCCTCCACGTGCTGCCAGACATCCAGCATTCACTGTGTTTGATTCCGACTGAACATTGTGTTCCAAAGAAATTCTCATTTCAAATATATTGGATGATTACAGCCAGTCTTAACTAAAACAAGGACACTGACTGAGACTATAAATAGTCGCCACATTGCATTGTGGATACACATTGCACCCCAATGAGATGGAGCTGCATAGGCTATCAATGCCCAGCAGAGACAATGACTTTCCTGAAGACATGTAAACAATTTGCTTACAACTTTGTCAAAAATACTTCCAATGATCTCCTAACTTGCCTTCCTCCTCAACACATGATAAAGTTAAAAGCAATACATTTCCCCAGTTCTGATTTCTAAACATTTTCTTTCTCTTTATTATATTTTTAGTACATTGATAAAGCGTGTCTAAAAGCCATTCTGAATTACTTTAATGATTACTACATCATTAACATTCAAGAATTTGAGATTGTTTCTCATAAAAGAGTGATTGTTGGTGTTAAAATATTTGATCCGATTCTCTCATCAAATGCTATGAAGTTAAGATTGCACATTCATCTTGGGCCTATTTCTGTGTTTCTTTTTCACTGAATCCTACAATATCAATAAAGTCAGATTATGGATTAAAACTCAGGCACAGTAACAAATGGCATTTTTGAAGTTTTATTACTCTTCAACTGCACAACATACACACACAGCTTTAACTCATTGCTAATTATTAGGTATTGCTTCCTTTCATTTCCTTCTCTGCTGCATCATCATTAAAGACAGGGAGGACTTAATGGATATAGATTGATCAAGAGGTGGTCACCCATTTTGAATGAATTGAAGTCAGCTCCTCCACTGATGTCAATTCTGCCACACTTCAAGTGTGACAGGGTCAAGAGGTGGTCACTCATTTTGAATGAATTGAAGTCAGCTCCTCCACTGATGTCAATTCTGCCACACTTCAAGTGTGACAGGATCAAGAGGAGCGGCAAATGCCACCCTCCTACCTGCCACCTTACCCACCCATCATCTCACCCACTTGCCATCTCACAAGGATGTTGCCAGGACTAGAGGGTTTGAGTTTATAAGGAGAGGCTGGATAGGCTGGGACTTCCTACCCTGGAGCGTAGAAGATTAAGGTGTGACCTTACAGAACTTTATAAAATCATTAGGGGTATAGATAAGGTGAATAGCCAATGTCCTTTCCTCAGGGTAGGGGAGTTCAAAATAGAGGGCATAGGTTTAAGGTGAGGGGGGGAAAGTTTAAAAGGAATCTGAGGGGCAACTTTATCATATGGAGAGTGGTGCGTGTATGGAACAAGCTGCCAGAGGAAGTGGTGGAAGTGAGTACAATTGCAATGTTTAAAAGACACTTGGACAGGTACATTGGATAGGAAAGGTTTAAAGGGATATAGGCTAACTGCAGGCAAATGGGATTAGTTCAGTATAGAAAACCTGGTTGGCATGGACAAGTTGGGCCGAAGGGTCTGTTTCTGTGTTGTATAACTCTATGACACAGCTGCCATCTCACACATGTGCCACCTCATCTATCTGCTATCCTGGGCATCTGCCATATCACTTGTGTAGTTACTCACGTACTTATGTCACTCACTATATCCATCCAATCACTTACCTCACCCATCTGTGAGATTCCATCTCACAGAAAACATAGTCCAAAATCCAATTCAAACTCTAACCACTCCTTGACAGATTAATCATCTCCTCCATGAGGTCCCAGTTAACATTCTGTATCTTTCATCTGCTTGAGCACAAGGTCTTTCCCAGACTTAGTGGAACTAATTTCCAGGCACTGACCTCGTTAATAGGCAACTTCTGCTATCTGTTTAAACATACTACTCTTTCCTGATAATGAAGCATCTGCAGAACAATTTGATCAGGAACCAACCTACAATTAACTTGCAGGCCTGCCCTCACAAATGCTTGCAAGTGTCCCTCCAAGCCACACACCATCCTCACTTGGAACATTATTGCTACTCCTTCACCACCTCTGGGTCTCCAATCCGAAAAGCATTGTGCCACTCAAGAGGGAAGCTTACGGCTACCTTCTCAAGGACAATTAGGGATAGTGATGAATTCTTGCTAAATAAGGGACACCCATGTTTCTTAAATGAATAAAAACAATCTCACTGTTTCAAGTAGCATTGGCAGATATGTTTACGTATAAATAGCCTGTGTCCTGTGAGCAATGAGCAAACTATCATATGGGTAAAAACTCCTGTGTTTTTAACTGTTGTTTTGATGATTTTAGCAAATGCATTCTCTTAGCTTCATGACAAACTTGTTCGTACAAAATGTTCTTTTCACTTTCCCTCCATAAATCTATTCTGATAGCTACTTTTGCTATGGGACTGAAAGGAAGATTAAGTAGACCTCTCATAAAAGGGTAACTATCACTTCCAATTATCTGCAAATACTGCAGGATTTTGAAAATTATGATTCATTTTCATTTTTAAACCCGGCTTGAAAAGTGGCTTCAGCCCATACTGTCTGTTTAACCTATTACAAAATATTTCTAACACTTTCTCTTGTCAGTCACCAACAGTATTAAAGGGAGGGGGTTGGTAAATGATGCATAGATTGCATTCCTGAGCACCAACAATCAGCAAAAGGATACGGTCTTTTCATGGGAGGTATTTTTTTCTCAGCGAAGAGAGAAGAGTTAATGGAGAGGCACAGAAGAGGCTGCAGTCTAAAGAGCCAGCTAGGGTAATTTATTTTGATTTTTTTTCAATAGAAGCCTTCTGGTCAGCATCAATTGTCAGGTAGTGCTGCAGCAGTGGAGCATTCCTCGGGCATTTCAGTCAAAAATTAATCATTTTCAAATACATAATGAACCTTGTGTACAGTTAGAAACTCTCAACGGACTTTGTGCTTTGAACTATGCTGGGCTGTACCGTATTTAACAGTTATATCAAAAGCCTTAGAACTTCATGTCTGATAACGTAGGGGAGCTTCAACATCTCTGCTGATAAGCATCACATTTGATATTCTAATGCACCCAAGTACAACAGTTGAATCTCCATTTCTGTTTTATATAACTTTAGTTAGATAACATGTTGAATGCTGTGCATAGTTCTGGCCTTCATATTATCAGCAGGAGGTGAAGACATTGTTACAATCATACAGAGCTGAGAGGTCATAGTTATCAGGAAAATTAAAAGCTGTGCAGTTGTTCTTGAAAATGTTGGATTTTAAAAAAAACTCATGTTTTTATACCGTTTTTGTGACCACCAGATTTCTTCAAGCACTTTACAGCCAATGAAAAAGATTCATAGAAAAGCTACAGGACAGAAGGTGGACTTCATCTTGTCATGTCTTTGCTGACATTCTCCTGCCTTTTTCCTGTAGCCTTGCAAATTGTTGGTTTTCAGGTAATGATCTGATTGCTTTCAATTGCCTTGATTAACCTGACCTCTACCACACCCTCAGGCAGTAGCTTTTAAATCCTAAACACTCTTTGTGTGAATTATTTTCTTCATTTGCAAACATTGATTTGTTTACCCATTACCTGGAGTCTGTGCCCTCTGATTCTTGATCCTTCACCAATGGGACCAGTTTCTCTGTATCTACAACTGTCCAGAACTCTCATGATTTTGAATGTTTTATTCAAATCTCCTCCCAACTTTCTCCAAGGAAAACATTCTGATCCGTCCATGTAACTAAACTTCCTCATCTGTCAAAATACTCTCGTGAATCTTTTCTACACTGTCTCCAATGATTTCACATCCTTCCTAAAATATGCTATCCAGAACTAGGTGCGATTCTACAATTGAACTCAAATTAGTATATTCTACAGGTTTCATATAATTTTTTTGTATTTGTATTTGATGCCCCAGTTAATGAAGGCTAAGGTGCCATTTGATTTATTAACCACATTCTCAACCTGTCTTGTCATTTTCAATGATTTATGCATATATAAATTCTGATTCTTCTGTTCCTACACCTGATTTATAATTGTACCTTTTATTTTGCATTGTTTCTTTTCATTCTTCCTACTAAAATGGGGTTGGTTCGCTCAGTTGGCTGAACAGCTGGTTTGTGATGCAGAGTGATGCCAACAGTGTGGGATCAATTCTTATGCCAGCTGAGGTTACCATGAAGAACTCTCCTTCTCAACCTCTCACCTTGCCTGAGGTGCGCTGACACTCAGGTTAAAGCCACTACCAGACTTCTCTCCCAAATGACAGAGTAGCCCCATGACCTGGAAAGACTATGCTGGCTTTATCTCCCAAATTAATTGCTTTATGCCTCCCTTCATTACATTTAATCTGACACTTGTCCAATCTCTTTACTACCTTGTCTACTTTCATTTGAATTTT